GTGAAATCGGATGTGTCCACCGCACATGCTGATTGTTGACTGAAACTTGGGCCTCACCATCTCGAAACTGGATCCGCCTCGGAGCTCGTGTGGCCCCTGCCGACCTCCCGGCCCACCTGGATAACCCGCTATCCTGTCACAGCATATCGTTCAGTCGTCTTCGTCTTTTGTATTCATCCTGGCCTCAAGCTGGAAATTGGCCACCTCCACCCCAAGTATCAGTTTGCAGGCATACGTCCGGCACAGGACTTGGAGGTACGCACGCCTCCATCAGTCCTCGCCTCACACGGCACGCCTCGCCCCAGTGTTTCCTGTACTCAGTGACTGGTACGTTGCAGCCGCCTCTTACATGATAACACTCCTCTGTCACGCGTACATTTCCTCTTTTCTTTCTTTCCAACTCTGACACCCGCCTCTGTCATGCATCTCTCTCTTTTCCACTTTCTGCTTTCTGAGTTTTGTTTTGGTCTTTGTTGCCACGTTATCAACAACTTCATACACACAGCGCTCTCTTGTACATATTGTATTCTATTTTTGCCTTTCCGCCTTGTACATGCCGCGCTTCCTTTCCCTTCTCTCTCTTTTTCTTGTTTATCGCGCTTCGCGCCTCCCGGCCTCACCATTGGCGGGGGAGTACTGTAGCGAACTGACGTCACTATCACATTATAAGCATGCGCAAGATCATAAAACATTCTCTTAGGCGTCACCTTCTTTGTTGTCCAGTTGGCCTTTGTAGCCGTCGTCTAGGGCCCGACGTAAAACCCCTGAACCTCTACCGTCTACCTCCATCAATAGAGTGATTCTACTCTACCAGGAAGCTAAAAACGAACGCAGCCTAGAAGGTGGACTGGGGGCTGGGGACTCTCTTGGTGCTTCAATGGCTATCCGGGATGCGTAGGAATCCCCCCTAGCACGTACTGCAGCTGGCTCCGATGATTCGTCCTTTAAAGTTGGAATTAGACGTCTTTTTCCTGGAGAGCCCGAATCTCCTCCTTTTTCTGTTCTTTGGAGGCTGTTAGATTTTCAGGTCCGCAATATCTTCCACAAGAAGACGCACTGTCTCCCTCAGCTGATTCATGATCGTAAGCATCCTGATGCTGGCGGCTTGAGGGTCCATTGGTAGCCCAGTCTGTAATGCTACTCGATCATTTGGCTGGATTTTTTTCCCGGAGCGCTCCGACGAGCTGAACTCGGCTGAATCTGGCCAAGTTCACATTGTTGGCCCTTGCTAGGCTTTCTGTCCCTAGCTATCCAGAATACCAAAATCTATGGTAGCCATACTCCCCCTGGGAGAGCAGGGAATTGGACGTAAAAGAACCTACAACTGCGCAGGGGAACGACGAAAACGATTTCATGCGCCAGGGGCTGCTGTGGCTATCCATGTCAGCGAGAACATCTAGCGTGTCGTTGACGTACGCCTGGAAAAGTGTTGGTCCTAGAATGCTTCCCTCGGGGACTCCAGCGGTTGTCGCGTACATAGATGACGTACGCCTCCAACGAGGCACTGTAAGGAACGGGTGTCGAGGGACGAGGCCAGCCATCTCTGAAGCAGACCATTGATGCCTAGGCTACGCATTTTGTGGAGGAGGCCGACATGTGAGACACGATCAAATGCTCCTGTGATGTCCACATCAAGGATACGCCCCACCCTCCACAGCCCACAGCGCTTGCCCAGGCAGTTTGGAGAGGTTGCAAAGTGTCTGATGTTCCGAGGCCTCCGCGAAATCCAAACTGGTGCGACGTGAGCAGATGGTGGTCCTCAAAATAGTTTACGATGTGTCTGTTTACTAGAGTTTCCATGATTTTCGAGATTATGCACAGTAAGGATATGAGCGTGTAGTTGAGCGGGAAGATCGCTTGTGGATCAAAACCACGGTGGCGGTCTTCCACATCCTAGATTGGACTCCAGACCGGAAGCATAAGGCAAATAACTTGGACAGTGGCTCTGCAAGCTCTGCAAAGGACGCAAGCATAAATACTGTCAGGCCCTGTAGCCTTGGAGACGTCCAGCTTTGCCAGGAATGGGCGCACAGCCTCTGGGCGGAAGCGGATGGTGCAAAGAGGTGGAGCATCTGAGGGACCAGGGTCCACTAGGTCAGCCTCCACAAGGTCCGGACCGGCAACGCTACATTTCTTTGAGAAGAAGCGAGCGAATGCCTCGGCTTTCCCTGAGCTCGTTGCCCACTCGCGGCCGTCAGAGTTGACAATTTAGGGAATTTCGAGCTGTGTGCAGTTGCCAGCGGCGTTCTTCAACTTCGTCACGGAATTGGTGAATACCTGCTGAAGTGCTGATTCATAAGGGTGTTTTCTCCGGTCGCGCCAGCGCTTTTTCTTCTCCCTCTCGGTCTGGGAGCATTCAGGCGTCCACCATACCGGATCGGAAGGCCTCGTTTCCAGAACTTTGGATGGGACAAATTATGCAACAGCTAAAGTTATCGAAGCGGTTACTTGCTCACAGGAAATTTCCTCCGTGATGATATCACCCCATTCCACGTTGCGACGGTGCGCCCTGAGGCGATCCCAGTCTGCCCTGTTGTAGCAAAATACTGGGGGGCTCACGTCTATGCACATCAGAAAAGTCTGACAGTACAACTGCATGGTCAGATCGACCGAGGGGTGGAAGTGTACGTGTAGTTACTGGGGACGTGAATGTTGACATTATGAGGTCTAGCGGGTTGTCTCCACGGGTGACATGCTGAAAAAGAAGATGGGCAGCAGGTATCTTCGAGAGCCTTGCCTGCAGGCGTAGTTTTCGAGCTGTTCAACCAAGCCTGGTTGTGCACGTTGAAATCGCTAGCTAGGATAATGTGAGGGCCCTGCTGTCTAGCTTCTGGGAGGATGGTGTCGGGATGGTCAATTAGGGTGAGATCGCCAGGGGCACAGGACTCCGGCCGATACACTGCTTCCAAGACTTTGCGGAGACCTGGGCCCAGCTGGAGAGAAAACCAGATGATGTCATGTGTGGGGGACATGAGTTCAGTGATGAGCATGGAGGGGAGTGACGACTTCACCCAGATGGCTACCCCTCCCCCGTGTGCCGTTCTGTCCAACCAAAAGGGTGAGCTGTATCCAGGGAAACTATTGTCAGAGGGAAGCAATTTCTCCGCAGTGAACTTCGTTTCTGTCACAATTGCGACGTCGGGCTGATGCTGCAGGAGTGCGTGCTGTAGGTCGGGAAGTTTGCTGGCTAGGCCGAAAGCGTTTGTGCTGAGAATACGAAGATGCTTGCTACCCTTCATTGCAGGAGGAGGTAAGGGGAGTGGAATTTGGCGTAAGCGGGTGCATGGCTACATGTATGGCTAAGGGTCCTAAAAATCTAATGATATACCTAAAAGGTGTGGATAACAACGTCACTGTAGGCTAGGATTGAGTATCCTGTCACGCCAGTTGGCTGAGTCATGAGCCCTGTGCTGGGGCAAGGGGTTGGCTGTGGCCAGGGTCGATGTTGTTGCTCTCTTTTATTTTTTTTTGGAATTTTAGAAATCAGGTGAGGATTTCGCACTGGGACTGGTTCTCCTGCATTGTTCGGAGGTAATCCAGGGGTTTGCTGGCTGTTTAGACATGTCTGTGTTAGACACCAGTGAGGATACGAGATATTCAGCAAGCGCCGAATCTGGGTGATTGCATGTTGTCTTGGTAGGAGTGGTTGTGTCGGTGTGCGGTGAGGTTGGATGTTGTCGTACCTGTACCTGTGCTGCCTGGCGGCGTTTCAGGGTGCACAGTCGTGCTGGTTGCCGACATGGGCGATATAATGTCGTGTTCGTAGTGGTCGTTGACTGGGTCATTTGGTGCGAGCTGAGTCAGAGTGGATACCGGGAGAACGTACAGTATTTTGACGAGCGTAAAACGGACGAGACAAAGAAGAAGAAGAAAAGGAATCGCCCTCGGAACATCATATGGTTCAACCCACCATTTAGCAAGAACGTCGCCACCAACGTTGGACATCGCTTCCTCCAGCTAGTGGCCAAACACTTCCCCAAAGGCTCAAGCCTCAACAAAATCTTCAACCGGAACTCTGTAAAGGTTAGCTACAGTTGCATGCAGAATATGGCCACTATCATCAAGCAGCGCAATAACACGATTCTACGACCCAAGAAACAAGCTAACGGAAGTGACAACGATACCAGGACTTGTAACTGTCGGGCGAAAGACTCGTGTCCACTGAACGGAGCGTGCCTAACGGAGAGTATCGTATATAAGGCAAGAGTCACCGCAGGTATGGAGAAGAAGGAATATACTGGATTAACGGCAACAACGCTACTATAACCACCAATCCTCATTCCGCCACAGACAACACGAGAAGGACACCCGCCTATCGCAGTACGTCTGGACCAAAAAGGATGAAGGGAAGGCATGCAGCATTCAATGGGCGGTACACCGCAGAGCAGCGGCCTACAGCAACAAAAGCAAAAGGTGCAACCTGTGCCTGGCAGAGAAATTGGCAATCGCGCAAGCACCCAAGCACCTCTCTCTCAACAAAAGGAGTGAGCTTGTGTCGAAGTGTCGCCATGAGAACAGGTACTACCTTCGGAACTTTAAACCAGCTACAGCCATCACCTAATTAAGTAAGAGACAACCAGCTCCAGTGGTTGTCACCTTTCACCACTGCTGTCATTCACGCTTTGCACTGCAGCTATTTACACTTTGCTTTGTGAGGATATAAACCAATACTGATCCAGATTTCCAATTACTGTTTTCTGATGGTCGCTTAGGGCTGAGTAAAAACACTTCCTCTGTCCTCCTATTGTTTTAAAATCATAACTTATTGTTTTACTGCTTATATAGACAGTTTCCTCTGAGACAAGAATGCGACAATACTCATAAAAAGGACTTTACGAAAATCTTGAAAGTTTGGTTTCACAAGTATACTTTCAAGCCTTCTCAACAGGTGAAATAAAGGCAAAGGAAAAGGAAAAGGAACACTGAATTAAGTACGGTAAGGAGGTGGTCAAGCAGCGCAAAGAAGAAGATAGCTAAAGTAAACAGCGAAAATGCGTGACCTATACACATAGCAATAATGGCACAAAAGTGCAAGTGTGAGAAAACTCAATAAGCGTGACATGTAGTGCGACAACAAGAGACAATCACTGGACATAACTAACGAGGTTTTCACAACCTACCTAACAGCCTAAGTGTAAATTTAATTTGCTTATGCTTGCTTGCAAAGGTTGGGTTTCTTTGTGTGGATGTATACGGCTTCAAAACAATCTAGCACTGCGTACACATGACACAATCGAACAAAATCATCTGAATACACAGCACAACAATCAGGATGCTCAAACAAATGACTAGCAATGGACGACTCATACATGAGAATAATCAGCATGTGCGGTGGACACATCCGATACCAAATGGCTAGTCGTGTGGACCCTAGCCATTGCCGCTGTCAGTGCTTTAGATGCTGCAATCGCCGTCGGTGCCGATCTTAGCTGTTGCTTGGCGTTGATGTCAGTGCTTTAGACTGCCATCACCATTGTTGCCGATCTTGTCAACATCTGGACACACTCATCCGACAACAGGAGACGTCCAGCAAAGAATCATCCTGGTACAAGATGATCTAACGCAGCGGCATCAACACCAAGCAACGTCACCTAACAATTAATTAGACCACCGGAAAAACAACCGGACAAGACACTTACTGGCATGGCAGTGACAGGAACCGCATCAACTAGAAGAATGACAAGATCGGCAACGACGGCAATGGCAGCAGGAGCAGTCTGAAGAACAAATTGCCTGACTCCACCAAGACTCGAACCAGGGACCCTCGCTTGTAGCCAGCGATGCTGTAACCACTGAGCTATGGTGTAGTGGTCATCCCAGCAGAAACCGTTCAACATTTTCTTCAGACTTCGTAACTCACACTTTGTGTGAATCTATACAGGCGGGTGGGACGCAGCCCTCACTGTAATCCACACACTCCACCTACAAACTAGCACGCAATATTCTTCCAGGATCCTACATCCTATCCAAATTCTACTTTGTTCTTCCAGAGTTTTGCGCAGAAATGAACTTGTTCACCTACCTGCCGGGCTGTTCAAAGCCACAACCAAATTAGAAAAACTGTAAGTCACGTTGTGAATGTACCGTAAAAAGGCCTTTTTGTCGTAGTTCTTTTGAGATGTGGCAAATGGGATTTTGGGATATTGCATCTCGTTGATTGATCTCATGTACCCTTTATGACCCGAATCTGACGCCGCTCGTGGAAGACTTTTCCAGGTAGAACTCCGTGCTGGAAGCAAAGAGCTGAGATAGTGTCTTTACAAGTTCCATGGCGCATTCCTTCAAGAAAGAAACTAGCTCCTGCGATTTCTTTTCCACTTAGCCACCTATTTAACCACACTTTACTACACTTCACCACAGGCAAGTTCCCTACCGACTGGAAACTGGCTACATTTGTGCCTATTTACAAGTGCAAAGGCAGCAAATCCCAAGCGAGTAACTATCGCCCAATATCCCTCCTGTCCTGTATTTCCAAACTTTGCGAACGGCTCTTCTTCAATCAATTATATAATCATATTTCTCCTACTCTGGATCCCGCGCAATCTGGGTTTCGTCGTGGTGACTCGACCGCTCTACAGCTCACCAAGCTGATCCAAAACATTGCCGACCATCGTCATACGGGGCAGAAAGTTGCCATATGCTTTTTCGACAACGAGAAAGCTTTCGACACAGTGTGGCACTGTGCATTACTTGCTAAACTTTCCAAAGTTTTCGGTGTGTGTGGCGCAGCGCTAGAGTGGATTACAGACTACCTATCCGACAGAACGCAAGTTGTCTTTGAAGGTGGACTTCTCTCAGATGCCTCACTTGTTCTGTCCGGAGTGCCGCAGGGATCCATCCTAGGGCCCCTCCTTTTCCAAGTGTATATTAATGATCTTCCCAGTCATGTTGAAGGTGTGTCCTTATTTGCTGACGATACTGCACTGCTCCGGTTCAATAAGTGTCTAGTGAGGCTGCGAGACAGTCTCCAGTGCGGCATCAACGAAGTCCATCAGTGGATGACTACCAGGAGATTAAGACCTAGGGGGCGTTCGTTTTTGATCTACAGGTTTGGGTAGAAACTACTTCTTACGGTAGAGGTGTTCGTTTTTTGAAAAAAAATTCTACTCAAAAGGGTAGATTCTACTTTCCTCTACCGGCTCTACCGGGAAAAAGTTGGTAGAATCCGGTAGAAGTTGGTAGAGCTACGGGATTTCCAGCAAGATCAAGGATTTGTACACAACTCCATAAAAAAAAGAAACATTTCACGTACACATCGTGTAAACTACTAGATTTGGTAGAACAGCGTTCGTACACTTGCCTCTACCATCTACTTCTATTGGTAGAGTGACTCTACTCTACTCTACCAGGTAGCTAAAAACGAACGCAGCCCTAATATCGCCAAAACTGAGATATTATTCCTGCCGAACTCAGAGCCAACCTATGCATTTACTCTTCCCGGATCCCTCACAGAACCTCACAGTGGTGAAGCAACACAAGCATCTTGGTTTGGTCATTGACTCAGACTTATCGTTTAGTTGACATGTCGACTATATCTGTAGCAAAGTCAGTAAAGCTGTTGGCTATCTCGTGTCTCATTGCTCCCACCTACCGCTTTAATGCATTTGCCTTTTTTATCATTGCTATATTCTCCCCATTTTTTCTATTGCTCAACCGCCTGGTCATCCCTACCAAGTACAGTAGATATTGGTTATAACGTGCCCTTCTGATTTTTCACATTTTATCACTATTACCGGTATATCACTACAGGCGATTTTCAACTGCCTGTGTCATACATACACATTATACACGTGTGGGTACTCGATCGCGCTAATGTAGCATACTGATACGTAATGCATGCTACTGCACCTTCTTCAGTCTAGAGTGAAGAACTTCTTGGCCAAAAGGCATCATCCAGGAAGCACCAGACCAGAATACTGTTGTCCTGAAGACTGAACTGCTGTTACATACTAGAGAGACCGAATATAAGGTAAATAGGTGCGAGGTACATATTGTGACATAACTAACACCAGGGTACTAAAGGTGACACCTACATAGTATCTACTACCACATTACTCCAATGCTTTAGTAAAAAGCTAGCAACCGAATGAAATGGGCAACGCAATATATTAATAAAACAACCGAGTAAATCAATTTCGAATGATCATATATCTTGCTGAATCGAATGATTAACCCAACACTTTAGCAACAAGAAGTTGAAAAGAATGATCAACCCAAACGCTCTAGCAACGAGAGGATATTACTGCTGTCTATTCTTGCTCATAACTTTGATAGAATGAATGCTGCTATTGTCACTACTCCGGCTACTAAGGATGCCATGCTATTATAGTAAAAGTGTTTCAATCGTATCCCAGCCGCTCCACAGGCATGCTCACTCTGCTAGAACGTCGAGGCAGCTGTGGCTGGTTGTTGTCGGCTCGGGCTTCTTCTTCCGTTGTGCCTGCAGCATCTTTGTCAGACCCAGGGCTACGGCTCCGCTCGGTGGTCGCCTCAGTTGCTGATGGTGGGATAGTCTCCCTGACTTGCCGGCGGTTTCTTATGGCCGTGCGCACACCGTCTTCCACCACCACTTGACGGCCTTCCTGTCGTACGACACACCATTCCTTGGCCGGTTGACTATATCCGTCTTGCAGTACCACTTTACTGCCTGGCTCGAGAGCAGGGAGCTCCCGCACGCCTCTCTTCTGATCGTGTTGATGGGCCATTCGCATTTTTTGGTCAATTTGCTTCTCCCGGTTGATGATTTGACCGTTAGCTAGATTCGGCAATCGTCCTCGAAGGGCCCGTCCAAAGAATGCTTCTCCTGGTGATGTCCCAATCATCCGATTCACGGATGTACGAATGCCGAATAGCGCTTGCTGGAGTCGCTGTCTCAGAGGTAGTGATGAAGGCATCCCACTCAAGCGCCTGCGCACGACGCCATGGAATCTCTCCACCATTCCGTTGGAGCATGGATACCGCGGGCTCGACTTGATATGCTTGACTCCTGCTTTCCGGAGAAAAGTTTCTGTTTCGTCCGACACCAGCTGTGGCCCATTGTCGCTAACTAGCTCCACCGGTAGACCATGTCTTGCGAATACTTCCGACAATGCTTGTATTATGACTCTCGACGTGGTGCTGGATAGCAAGAGCAACTCGGGATATCGGGATCCGTAGTCGATGACCGACAAGAAGTGATGATCCTCGATCTCCACGAGGTCCACCGCCACCCGATACCAGACTGGTAGGATTTCTGACGGTTGGAGGGGTTGTGGAGGATTCCGCTGCCTCTTCCAGCATGTCGAGCATGTCCTAGCGAATTCTGAGGCATCTTTGCTCATGGACGGCCACCATACACTTTGTCGCAACGTGTCCAGAAACGTGTCGAGTAGTGGATGGCCTTCGTGTGCGATACGGAGGACTTGGTCATACAAGGTACCGGGTATGACGATGCGATTGTTATGCATGACGATGTCATCAACCACTGACAACGAGTCCCTTATTCGAAAGTATACCTCGTCGCTGCCGTCGCATGTATTCCACTTGCCTTGTAACACTCTGTTCCTGACTCGACTTAGCTCACCATCAGTGTCTGTGGCTAGCCGGGCATCTTCGCAAGAGATTGGAGCTTCCCCCAGGATTAAGCCAACATACTCCTTCATTGACCTGGCCTCTGCCGGACTGGCTTCAACTGCTTGGGAGGGGGCTCTCGATAGCGCGTCAGTACAAATCATTGACGTTCCTGGCGTATAGGTCAACTGAAAGTCGTATGGGAGGATTGCCAGCAGCCATCGCTGCACTCGGGCTGGCACCTGATCGAATTCCTTCTTTACGATTGCCACCAGAGGCTTGTGGTCAGTGAATACGATCACTTGTCGCCCCAGTACGAATTGGCGGAATTTTACCAAGCCGAAAACCACAGCCAGCATCTCTCTCTCGAGCTGCGAATACCGTGTCTCGGGATCCTTGAGAGCTTTGCTAGCGCATGACACGGGTTGAAAGCGGCCATGATTGTCCTTCTGCCACAGTATAGCTCCCAGGCCACATGGAGATGCATCCACACTAATGGCCGTCTCCCTGGTTGGCGTGACGTCGAAGAACGACAGACGTAACAATCTAGACGCGGCCTCCTCTTTGAGTGTGTTGAACTCCATCCAGAGCGAGTTGTCTGCGACGAATGGCTCGCGTTTTGCCAATGTCCTGACCGGTGCCGTTGCGTCCGCTAATCCAGGGATGAATTTTCCGAGGTATGTTAGCATACCAAGGAATCGCCGTACATCCGACTGAGATTCTGGCAGAGGCATGTCTAGGATTGCCTTCACTTTGTCTGGGTCAGGATTGACGCCCTGGGCATTCAGTATGCTGCCAAGGTATCTAACCTCACTTTGCTTCCACTGACATTTGTCGTTGTTCAATTTCAGCTGTGCCGCTTGTAGTCGCTCTAGGACTCGCTGCAGTCGTTCATCGTGTTGCTTGATGCTGTCACCGGTGACCAGTACATCGTCTACGTACACGAAGACTCCTGGGATACCAGCGAGCAGGTCAGACATGACCCTTTGGACGATTTCCGGGGCACATGAGATGCCAAAGGGTAACCGCTTGAATCGGAACAAACCTTCCTCCGTCGTGAAAGTTGTGTACGGCTGTGAGCTGGATGACAGCGGGATTTGGTGGAATCCAGACTCTGCGTCCAAGACCGACAAAATCGTTGCACCGTGGATTTGGGCTGTTATTTCCTCAGCGGTAGGCATGGCTCTCTTCTCCCGAATGATGTTTTGGTTCAACTTCCTGTAATCTATACACAAGCGAAGCTTGCCGTTAGATTTGCGGCTAGGAACTATCGGTGAGATCCATGGAGTCGCCTCTTTCACTGGTTCGATAATTCCAGCCTCCAACATTCGACTTAGTTCTGCCTTGACCTCCTCGCGGATGCTGAAAGCATGTCGTCGGCATGCAGACGCCACAGGCACGGCGTTTGGGTCCACGGCGATGTCTACCGGCCGCATAGTCACTGTGTTGATGTCGGCAATGTCTACCGGCGGCATAGTCACTGTGTTGATGTCTGGCTCATCAACGGTGACAG